GGGAGGGCAGGGTGGACCCCTGGATGGGAGGACGAAGGGGTGCTAGGTAGGGGAGCTCCTGGTGTGACAGCCACGTGCGGACGGAGGAATAATTTTCAGACATTTATTATGTCAGAAATATTATGTCTGAAATATCATGCTGTTCTGTATAAATTGAGATCTTTTTTTCCTAAGTCAAAAAATGTTTGTAAATTTAGTAGCTACCTGTTATTATATTATACCATAATTTAACTATGGTGCATTTAGTCAGTCAAAGCCATGGAGAATTGCACTACTAATACATTTATTCTAAGTCTTGTTGGAATAGTTTTTATTTTAGAAGATGAGAGATGGTATATAGAGACTAGCTGTAAGTTCTTCATCATCTACCATTTGTGTCTTGAAGGATATTTTTGTTTTGAAATCTCAAACCTGGAATGAGGTGTCTGAATAACGGTACTTTTCACAAGTTAAAAAAATAATTAAACTTAAGAATTTCTACAATTGAACTGAGCTGGAGTGTAGTTCAGTGGTTAAGTACTGGTGTTGTATGCATAAACTCCTTGGTTTGACCACAAGTACCACAAAACAAACAAATGAAAAAGCATAATAAAAACCCCAAACAAACAACATCAATAACAAAACCAACTCTGTTTTGCCCAAAGAATTTGTTTAATTTTCTATCACTTATATTATTTAAGATTTGGCTCCTGATATCATTGCTTTGTGTTCAATTGTAATACATATATGTGTGTATATTTGCACAGATTTTAATAATGAATTATTTAAATCAATGTCTGGATTTTGTGATGTTCTGTGACTTTTAGATGCTGGCCCTGAAGATGTGGAAATTAGAAACGGAATATTTCTGTGTGGGAACCTTTCCCGGCATATCAAGAATGAGAACTGTTTCAGTAAATCAAGTTTATTGGCATTTTTAAGTAGCAAAACGTATGGTGGAGAACGCAAGAAACATTCAACATGAATTAATCTTTGACTAAGCGTGAAGCCAGAGCAGTTCAGCCAAGGTGAACAGGGCTCTGGACAGTTAAAACCTTGGTGAGAACTCTGATAACGAGGCTATACTCTGGGCAAGTGTCTAATTGCCTCAGATTCTGAGATTACACCTCCCACCTCGAAAATAGCGAAGTTAGAATCTCTTATTCTCAATTCATACCCGCTTCACTCTGAAGAACAGAAACACAGGCAAAAAAAAAAAAAAAAAAAAAAGTCTCTGGTTCTATTCCTTCTCAAACTCTGAAATATTTTAAAACTTTTCTTGTAGGTTAATAATGACTTCTTTCCGGTACAATGACATTGCCTTTCAGAGACTACAAGCCCCATTACGCTACACACTCAGCACTGAGGTTACTCTGCCCCCTGACGCTCGGGGCGCTCCAATCCCGATCTGTGGCTGGGCGCCGTGAGCGCACATTTTTCTGGGACTTGTAGTCTCCCCCTTTCCCTGTCCGCGCAGACTCCAGCGGCCTTCGTCTGCCCTTTGGCCTTAGCAGAAGCCCCGCCCACAATTCGACGTTCCCCACCCCCATCAAACGGCCTTCTGTTGGGAGCCAACCTCCTCCGGTCACGTGGAAGACTTTGAGGGTACGAGTGGTTGGGGCGTGAAGGGGGCGGGGCCGAAGCCCCTGCGAGGTTCCGTGCCCCTGGTCCAGCCGCTGTTTGGCTGTTGCCGTCACCTCATGGCGACTCGGGTTGAGGAGGCAACGCGGGGAAGAGGCGGCGGTACTGAGGAGGAGGCTGTTGAAGGGGGACGGGGCGGACGGCGACGCAGCCCCCCGAAGAAGGTCAGTGGAGGGGACGTCTTCGTTACGGTTGTGTTTTAGGGGATGATTGCGTTACCTTTTTCGGGGTTCACCTTTTCACTTACCCCCTTTCCCCTTTAGCTACGGGACGAACATCTGGCCCCATTCCCCCTTTCCTTCAGTGGAGTAACGATAGTTGGAGCAGGTCGGGGGTGTGGGACTGAAATGGATAGGGTAAGGAGGGACGATGGTTGGGACTTGGGGGCACTCGGCGGCGGGGGGCTGAGGGAGGGCAGGGTGGACCCCTGGATGGGAGGACGAAGGGGTGCTAGGCAGGGGAGCTCCTGGTGTGACAGCCACGTGCGGACGGAGCTGTCCGGGGCGTCAGGTGTTCTGTCTCAGCACGTGTGGTCACTTGTGCCTTGGGATTCCGCTGCCCGTGGAGGCGGCGGTGTGGGGGTGGGGGCTCACGGGAGTACGTTCAAGATTGCTCAGCGCTGGGCAGGTGCGTAGGGCGCGCTGCGGGGTGCTCCCCGGCCTCAGAGCTGAGGCTGTTGCGCAGTAAGATAACAGCGCCGGAGCCAGGGCTGTGTTTAGCCCCTTGCCCCCCTTCCCTTCGCCCCCCTCCCTTCGCCACTGTGCGGGCAGCTATGCGGGGGACGCTGTGGGACTCCCGGGACCCACACCCGGGGCTTGGTCTCTGGGCATTAGTGACCTGCCGTGAGCGTGAGGATGAGGTGGTGATGCTGGGGAAAGAGCATCATCATCTGATAGCAGTTTTCCCATTCCTGCTACTACCCTCTCTTTCTTTTCTTTCTTTTTGATTTGGTAAGCGGAAACTTGAGTGCCTCCTGGGCTTGGGGTTTGGTCTTCCTTAATTTAGCAGAAGAGCTGGACCGTTTGTTCCCCCTTGCCATACTTGTTTCATGTCAAGGAGTTTTCAGTGTCTCCCTGGATACAGGAAAATCGAGGATCTCTTTCAGAACGGGAGAAATCCACTTGTTCTGGAGCTCAGTGGGTGGAATTTTGACAATGATTGCACAATGAATAGGGTACAGGGCTTTCGGGCCCTGGAAACAAGAACTGGGGGGTATGGTATTGAAAGGTAGAAATTCCATCCTTTTTTTCTTAGAGGAGAACATCCTGAAACCACTCGACTTGTTGGACACCCTGCTTGACCACTGAGGGCTATTTAATATTACTTAATTATGTATTTGACTAATCTTAAAAGCCACTCCTGTATGAAGTTACGAAATAATATTTTTCTAATGTGATTCATGAACTTCAAAAGGGAGAACAAAGGTCTGGTTTACATTTGAGCAGTGTCAAGAATTGGCTTTTTGGGGCCTGTTCCTTTTCTCCTTCACTTTTATGATTTTTTTTGAAATAGGTTCTTACCCTGTAGCAGGCTGGCCTTAATTGACTATGTACCCCAGGCTTACTTCCAACTTACTATGATCCTCTTGCCTTAGTTTCCTGAGTGCTGAGATTACAGCCTTGAGCCACCACTCTGGCCTTTGGTGCTTTTTTCTAAGGTTGGGGATTGTCATGCTATTCTGTCTCATAAAAGAAGGATCTACGGCTTGTAGGACTGGAAAAGAAGCTGTGGCCCAACAGTTCATTGGGGATTCAACACTGTCACTTTGGACATTTATTCCCTGAGGGTGAGGAGCCAATCTCAGTGTTTGATTTCATAGGTTCCCCAGGGGAGAACTCTGATAAAAAGCCATTGCAATTGAGGACATAAGTTCCCTTTTATGCCACTGGAATAAGGACAAAAAGTCATTGAATTAGGAAGAAAGATTTAATCAACCAGTATTTTAAACTAGGAGGGTAAGAGGTAATGACTTTTGGAGTTCAAAGCTCTGGTTAATAGCTAGATATGAATAGTCTTGTATGTCTACTCTTTTAATTTTTACTTTGTATTTCTTTGCTCATGGTTTTCTGGGCGTCTTTTGGTTTCTATCTGACTATAAAATGGAATAAAAAAACATTAGTTTTTACATCTTCAGTTCAAAATTGGATGAACATCTTATGTCTGTAAAAATTAATTTTTAGTTGCTTATTCGTGATCTTCAATTTATTGATTCTAGGTTAGTAACCTGAGAAAATAGTCCCTTTTAAAAAATTAACCTCTATATTTTTGTTTTTCAGGAAGCAGAAATGATGTTAAACAAACTCAGTTGCTTTTAAAATATTGGAGGAATTGAGAAACATAATTTGTTATGGAGATGGGCTCTGTTGTTCCTGGTTCAAATCATCTGCCTACTCACTTATATTTCTGAGGCAGTGTCTGGTCTGGTCTTCCAAGTGCTGTGCAAGTGGGATTATCATACCTGCTTTTTAAAAGAGACAAAATGTTGTCATGTTCATCTGGCTGGCCTTGAACTCCTGGGCTTAAGTGCCTAGTCACTCTTGACCTGCTCAGTTAATTATAGCATGGTTTCATAACTATATTCACTTAAACAGGTTTCTTGAGGTGACTTTTCTAAAGGTAATATTGCAGTATATTTCTAGGTGTCATTTGAAGAATTGTCTTAAAACTGCTGGTACTATAGGCACTAACCACATGTAGCTATTTAATTATTTTTGTTTTTTAATATTAGGGACTGAGTAGTGGGGATTATAGGCCTGTACCATTGGGCCCAGCCTCAATTTGTTAGGGTTAAATAAAGTTTTAAACTTACCTTTTTCAATTATACTAACCAAATTTCAAGTATTTTAGTAGCATTAATATTTCTGTGCATATTACAGCAGATCTAGGACAGTTTCTGGAGTCTTTGTTTTGTTTCTGTTTTTGAAAGTCAGGGTCTCACTGTATAGTCCATGCTAACCTGGAACTCAGTATGTAGCCCATACCAGCCTCAAATTTGCAGCTCTCCTAGTGCCAGAATTACAGGTATGACCCATTACACCTGGCTCTAAGACATTGTCATTGAATAAAATTCTGTTGGACAGCATTGATTTAAGAAATGAGGTAAATGCTGGGCATGGTGGTACAGGTGGTAGAGGCAGGCAGATCTACGAGTTCAGTGCCAGCCTGGTCTGTCCTGAGAGTTCCAGGACAGCCAGCACTGTTATACAAGAGAAATCCTGTCTTGAAAAACAAATCAAACAAACAATAAAAACTAAGCATACGTTATTAAACATAGATATTTACAGAAATTTGAGTAGAAATTGCAGAGCAGCAATGTGTTACAATTTGTTATAATTGTTCAGGTGCTACAGATATATTATTACTGTGTAACCCCATCTTTTACAGGGTTCAGTAATGTTATACAATGTATGAATTTTGACAAGTGTATAATAACATGTATCTAGAGTAGCTTGTGCTCCACCTAGTCATCCTTCCCAACTGCTAGCGCCAACTGATATTTTTCGCTTTGGTTGATATTTATTTATATGTCTTTGTGTGTGTGTGTATGTGTGTCAGTCATAGTACATGAATGGTGGTCAGAAGACAGCATTTACCACATGGGTCTCTACAGAACAGACTCAGGTTAGCAGTGAGTGCCTTTACCTACTAAGACATTTTGCCAGTCTTAAAGTAAGCTTTTTTTTTTTTTTTTTTTTTTTTTTTTGTTTTTTTTTTTTACTTTTTTTTCCTGTTTTAAATTAATTTTTTTTTTTTTTTTTTTTTTTTTTTTGGAGATAGTATTTCACTGTATAGCCCAAACTGGCCTCAAAATTCTGATCCTTCTGCCTTAGTCCTCTGAATGCTGGGATTACAGGCATGTGTCACATATCATGTCAGGTGGCCACTGAATGTATGTGTTTATTACCAGACAGGGCTCTCAGTGTATAGTTTAGAGTGTCCTACCAAACTGGTCTTTTAACTGTTTCCATAGTTTTTTTCTTTTCTAAAATGTCTCAGTGTTTTTGTTTTTAACTAAAGTTTTGCTTGGGAATATTAAAAGGTGATTTGACTAGGAGCAAGAGAGAAGTCTCAGTCATTAAGAACACAGCTGTTCTTATAGAGGACCAATTCCTAGTTCTCATATCAGGTGGCCTGTAACTCCAGCTTCCGGGAACTCTAATGCCCCTGGCCTCCATGAACACTTGTCCATACCCACTCACCTACACATAATTAAAATAAAAATCGTAAAAAAAAAAATTAACTGCTACTAAAATTGCTTTTAAGTCTACAAACCATTTTAAGTCCAAAATATGATACTTGGCTTCATTTTAAGAAAACCTTACATTTATATAGTGTCCTATCATTTTTATAGCATGTTTGCAAATACATTAACTCTATTAGCATCACTCAGATACTTTAGAGAAGGTTGGGCAGCTGACATTGCCCTCATTTACTGATGATACACTGCTAGGTAAGGTCAGGTGATTTGCCCAAGGGATGAAGCTAAGTCTGGAAACTTATGGCCTTTCATCTATATTGTGGTAATAAGTAGTGTAGTAGTAGGTAAATAGTATAGTTTTTAGAGTCAAGACTCTTGGCTCTCTGCCACTTAATAGCTCTGTAACCTTGGGCATATTTCTCACACTACAAGCCTCACTATACACTATATACACTCTATTAGGATACACTGTATTAGGATTATTGTGAGGAATGAGTTCATATGACATTTGCCATAGTGGGAAGTATATAAAATTTTATGAAGTTTGGAAAGGATAATATATGGTAGACCAGATTCTGTTGCTTTTAGGGTGCTATTAATTTTGTAATCCATCTTCCAGGCTTTGTATTTTCTCCCCTTCCCAGAATCTCTGATAAATTAGTCCAGCAGGCAAGAGTATAGTTCAGGAAGGAACCATTTTTGTTATTTTTTTTTTTCCCTATTTGCCAACCTGATGAATTTCCACTTTTCTGGCATAGATATTAATAAGTAAATGGCCTAGTTACATTATTTTAACTATTGCCAAGGTTTCATTTAAAAATATTTTAAATTATGTGTCTGTGTGAGGTATGTGCATGTAAGTGTGGGTGCTTGTGGAGGCTAGAAAAGGGCATTGAATTTCCTGAAGCTGGAGTTACAAGCAGTTGTGAGCTTCCTGACATGTTGCTGAGATCTGAACACTAGGAC